GGGTGTTTGGAGGTTGAACAGGATGCTGGCCACCAGATATCTGCCAGACCTCCCTCGTTCTCGTCTCTGATGCGCTACGTTGAAGTGACTAACTTTGACTGGACATTGTCCTTCATCTTCGCCCTGTGCACCATCGCCACATTCTGCTATTACCTTGGGTAAGTGCCCCAATTTTATATATGATACTTTACGTAGTTGTGTAGAGCCATGGGGGAGGAGACTAAAGGATGCTTCCGAGAGGGTCTTGCTCAGATACAGTGTATAGTATTGAGTGGATTGTAATGCCCTTTTCTCAGTGGTACCTTGGTAGCATCCTATTGCCGTATTACCCTTGATTTTGAGCTGGCCGGGCCTAGAGTGAGGTGGCCACGTTCCCCGTTTCTGGTCGTCAGCAGTGCTGCCATCTTGTGAAGTTCGGTGTAGTTGGTTGTTTGGGAATAAGTTGTTAAAATTTATTTGAATGGAGTTTTGAGTGGTTTGAAGGGTTCTTGTTTGTTATAATTAGCAATTACTTTGAGGTGGATTGAAGAATGCTTTCCTCTTCCTTCCTTCCTGGTTTATTATAAGGATTAGACATTACATTCGTCACTTGTATCATTGGTCCCCCGACCTAGGCATAGGCTCAATACTTTACTTCTTAGACATTTTAATTATACATTCAAAGAAAAATGTCGTAATAGAAATGCTTTAAAATAAAATTGGAAGACAATTTCATTTTCGTTTTTGGGGCAATAATTACAAAGCACGGAAACTTGGCACCAGTGTACCAGTATATATGTTAGGATGCTTCTTTGGACAATTGTCTTAACAATGTACTGACTAAATGTTTAGAAAATTTTAATGTATTTGTTTTAGGACAATTTTATACACTGAATTTTTAGCCTTGTTACCATCCTTTGGAAGTTTAAGAATTAATTCTATTTTATATTTTTATAGGAAAGTGAAAAGATTAGTTGAGCATGAAAAAAAAGTGAATGGAGAGCCGAGAAGAAAAATAAAAAGTTTTTCAGGAAAGATGAAACTCTTAAGGAAAGAAGTAAGGAAGTGCAGCAAGTAGACTGATGGAAAGACCAATAGGATAAGGATAAGCATAGGAAATGTGAACTGATGGAGGAGAAATTAGAAGTAGGTAGAGAGAGTACTTTACTTTGAAACGCTTTTGGGTGGAATTAGTGATTAAAGTTCATAGGTAAATAAGACAGATTTTGTTGTCTTAGAAGAGTACAAAAGAGAACTTCTGAAGATACATTCATGAAAGAGGTAAAAGGGGTAGCAGGAAAGAAGTTGAAATGTGGGGAATTTAATGTAATTGTTGAGAGAAGTTTGTAGAAATGATTGAATGCAGCAGAATGAAATGGAATTGTTGAGGAGGTCCCAGAAAGCACTGGAAAGTGGCACTGTGTTAAACACATAGAACAAGGTTGTGAATTTCTTACAAATTTACAATTTGTAAAAAGAATGAATGTGGTGAGTGTATAAAGTGTGTGTGTGTGTGTTCCTGCCAGACCTCCCTTGTTCTTATCTCTGCAAGAGTGCACTTAACACTTTGGTTTCGTGATGACGTTCTCGGAGTCATTAAAAAATACACGTAGTGTAGACGTAACAGTAACGCCGTCAACAATTAAAATATTTGTTAAAATTCCATTGATTGTCCGATTATTATGGGACTATCTTGAGGTTATCTTAATGAAGATGATTTTGGGGCTTAGCGTCCCCGCGGCCCGGTCCTCGACCAGGCCTCCTTTTTGTTACACACCCCCAGGAAGCATCCAGAAAATAACATGATGTTTAACAGTGATAAATTCCAGGTACTCAGGTACAGTAAAAATGAGGACCTTAAACATAATACAGGGTACAAAACACAATCAAATGTACCCATAGTAGGAAAACAGCATGTCAAGGATTTGGGAATAATAATGTCTGACGACCTAACGTTTAGGGAGCATAACTAAGCAAATATTGCGACAGCCAGAAAAATGATCGGATGGATTACGAGAACTTTCAAATCCAGGGATCCCATCACAATGGTTGTACTCTTCAAGTCACTTGTGTTGTCCCGTCTTGAGTACTGCTCAGTACTCACTTCCCCCTTTAGAGCAGGAGAGATTGCTGAAATAGAGGGAATACAGAGAACATATACGGTACGCATAGACGAGATAAAGCACCTAAATTATTGAGATCGTCTCAAAGCCCTCCAAATGTACTCACTAGAAAGAAGACGAGAGAGAGATCAAATAATATACACCTGGAAGATACTGGAGGGCCAAGTACCAAATCTACACAGTAAAATAACAACGTACTGGAGTGAACGATATGGAAGAAAATGCAGAATAGAACCAGTGAAGAGCAAGGGTGCCATAGGCACAATCAGAGAACACTGTATAAACATCAGAGGTCTACAGTTGTTCAACACCCTCCCAGCGAGCATAAGAAATATTGCCGGAACAATCGTGGACATCTTCAAGAGGAAACTAGATTTATTCCTCCAAGGAGTGCTGGACCAACCGGGCTGTGGTGGGTATGTGGGCCTGCGGGCCGCTCCAAGCAACAGCCTGGTGGACCAAACTCTCACAAGTCAAGCCTGGCCTCGGGCCGGGCTTGGGCAGTAGAAGAACTCCCAGAACCCCATCAAGCAGGTATATGTGGGCCTGCGGGCCGCTCCAAGCAACAGCCTGGTGGACCAAACTCACAAGTCAAGCCTGGCCTCGGGCCGGGCTTGGGCAGTAGAAGAACTCCCAGAACCCCATCAAGCAGGTATATGTAGGCCTGTGGGCCGCTCCAAGCAACAGCCTGGTGGACCAAACTCTCACAAGTCAAGCCTGGCCTCGGGCCGGGCTTGGGGAGTAAAAGAACTCCCAGAACCCCATCAACCAGGTATCAACCAGGTATCGCGTAGCAGCTGCCTAACTCCCAGGTATGTATGTATTGTTAGGTGAACAGGGGCATTGGGGTGAAAGAAACTCTGCCCATATGTTTCCGCCTTCATCGGGGATCGAAACCTCAGGACTACGAATCCCGAGCACTGTCCACTCAGCTGTCAGGCCCCTGACTTGTTTTAAAATGTGCGCCAATGTCTTCCCATTCTCTGTATACCCCACCTGGCATCATGACACCGCTGCATGGGTGGCCACCCATGCGGGAAGCTCATTGTTTTCATGACCACGCTTGCTGTTCTCGTGATCACGCTCGAGACTGCTGCGGCCTACCCTCGTGTCAAAACGTGTGCCTGTTCCGGTTGTTTTTACCTCATGTATTTGTTTTGTTACTGCATTTATAAACACGAAGACCATCAATTTAGTCCAAGAAATGTGTAAGTACTTCATTCATAATGCTGTACTGACAGGAATCTTAGTGAAGTATCCAAAATTTGCTTACTGTAGGTGCTGCTTGCACACGACTGTAAAGCTGCCGCCCAGTTGGGTGGGTGTGGAGCACATGACTGTAAAGCTGCCGCCCAGTTGGGTGGGTGTGGAGCACATGACTAAAGCTGCCGCCCAGTTGGGTGGGTGTGGAGCACATGACTGTAAAGCTGCCGCCCAGTTGGGTGGGTGTGGAGCACATGACTGTAAAGCTGCCGCCCAGTTGGGTGGGTGTGGAGCACATGACTGTAAAGCTGCCGCCCAGTTGGGTGGGTGTGGAGCACATGACTGTAAAGCTGCTGCCCAGTTGGGTGGGTGTGGAGCACATGACTGTAAAGCTGCCGCCCAGTTGGGTGGGTGTGCAGCACATGACTGTAAAGCTGCCGCCCAGTTGGGTGGGTGTGGAGCACATGACTGTAAAGCTGCCGCCCAGTTGGGTGGGTGTGCAGCACATGACTGTAAAGCTGCCGCCCAGTTGGGTGGGTGTGGAGCACATGACTGTAAAGCTGCCGCCCAGTTGGGTGGGTGTGGAGCACATGACTGTAAAGCTGCCGCCCAGTTGGGTGGGTGTGCAGCACATGACTGTAAAGCTGCCGCCCAGTTGGGTGGGTGTGCAGCACATGACTGTAAAGCTGCCGCCCAGTTGGGTGGGTGTGCAGCAAGACTAGTAACTGTGTGACTCACCATAAATGTAAAGTGCCTTGTATAGTGACTGTTGTGAGCCTCTTGTTGAATCACTTTTGATAAAAAAAAGGTTATTGATGTGTATATATATATTTGTGTAAATGATTGTATACATAACATACATAACAGGGAGCCGGTCGGCCGAGCGGACAGCACACTGGACTTGTGATCCTGTGGTCCTGGGTTCGATCCCAGGCGCCGGCGAGAAACCATGGGCAGAGTTTCTTTCACCCTATGCCCCTGTTACCTAGCAGTAAAATAGGTACCTGGGTGTTAGTCAGCTGTCACGGGCTGCTTCCTGGGGGTGGAGGCCTGGTCGAGGACCGGGCCGCGGGACACTAAAAGCCCCGAAATCATCTCAAGATAACCTCAAGATCTCAAGAATAATTGTGTAACTAGCTTCAAAAGATTGTCACTTGCTTAGCTAAGTGAACTCTGAGGTTCAGTTCCTGAAGCGATTGTGTGTGTCTGTGTGTTTCCACGTGTTGAATTATGTTTCCACCACCGCCCACGGGATGTGTATAGGGTGCATAATAAAGAAAGACATTGAATTATGACAAAGACTGTCTGGTAAAGGGACTAACTTAAAAGTGTAACCTATATCCACTAACTTTTACCACTAAGTGGTTGAATCAACTTCGTCAAGTCTTATGGGGACGAGTGGTTGCATCGGAACAGGACTGCCATTTACAGCTCATGTAATCTGGGCATAAAACGAGATGAAATACAACATGGTATTATGGCAGTGTCTGACTGATTAAAAACTTTGATCATAATATTTGGTTACTTATCCATCACTGTCATCTTGTCCTGCTTTCTCTAAAATTTGACCATTACCTCCATGTCTATTTCCCAAGTGATCTTTGTTTTTCTTGTGAAGTCAATAATTTCTTATTGATATCCTAACAACAATCTGAAACCACACTTCACATTGTTATCACGAAATCTGTCTTCCAGTCACAACTGAAAGTGAAGTGGAAGACGACGATGATGACGCAGAGGAGGACGACGACGACCAGACGCAGTGTACTAAATGTGGCCACGACGATCACCCAGAGACTATCTTGTTGTGTGACAATTGTGATGCTGGGTGGCATCTGTCGTGTCTTCGGCCGCCTCTTCTTAGTGTTCCTGAAGGAGACTGGGTGTGCCCGACCTGTGAACATGTAAGTATCAGTTGATTATCTTGTTGTGTGACAATTGTGATGCTGGGTGGCATCTGTCGTGTCTTCGGCCGCCTCTTCTTAGTGTTCCTGAAGGAGACTGGGTGTGCCCGACCTGTGAACACATAAGTATCAGTTGATTATCTTGTTGTGTGACAGTTGTGATGCTGGGTGGCATCTGTCGTGTCTTCGGCCGCCTCCTCTTAGTGTTCCTGAAGGAGACTGGGTGTGCCCGACCTGTGAACATGTAAGTATCAGTTGATTATCTTGTTGTGTGACAATTGTGATGCTGGGTGGCATCTGTCGTGTCTTCGGCCGCCTCTTCTTAGTGTTCCTGAAGGAGACTGGGTGTGCCCGACCTGTGAACATGTAAGTATCAGTTGATTATCTTGTTGTGTGACAATTGTGATGCTGGGTGGCATCTGTCGTGTCTTCGGCCGCCTCCTCTTAGTGTTCCTGAAGGAGACTGGGTGTGCCCGACCTGTGAACATGTAAGTATCAATTGATTAGCTTCATTTTGACAGCCTTGTGATCGTGGTTGAAGTCAAGAGTCACCATTAAATATTTGTGTTTTCTTGTATCCTACTGCATTTAATTGTAGTGGTACCATATTTCACCAGCCACATGAATATATAGGTACTGTATTTCACCACTCTCATCCATGAAATATATAGGTATTGTATTTCATCATCCACGTGTCTAAAATGTATTGATCCAGTACTGTATTTCATCACCCAAGTGTATAAAATGCACATGTTTGTTATGATTTAAAATACTCTATAGTTGTGGATGCATCCCATTTCTATGAGATGTAACCTTTTACAGTAATGGAAAATGCATTTAGTATTCCATTCTTCTTCGTCAGGTACAACTCGTGAATAAGTTACGAGCTCTCCTACACGAGTTTGACGAATGTCAGAAGAGAGCTCATAATGAAGAATTGAGGAGGCAGAGACTTGCATACGTGAATGTTTCCTTATCTAATGTCTTACCAGATGGTAAAAAGAAGAAAAAGAGGCGTCACCGGGATGGTGAAGATGATGACGACGACGACGATGATGAATCTGGTTCTGAATCTGATACTGAAGTAAGTAAATATGAGAACATTATTAAATTGAAAGCTCTTTTTGTTTTATTAACAAAGAGTTTTATTTGTTAATATTCTTTTATTCAGTATAAAACTATACAAAAATTGTGAAAATGTTAACCTGAGATACAGTAACTTAACAGCAGTTTCCATGGCTTACGTTACACTTTGTGTGCCTATGTATGAGTAACTATGGAGTTGTGAGATGCACTGTTCTTCTGGACAGTCGATGCCATTTCCTTCATCTGGCTTTGCCGGACATATGGGCACCCCAGACCTGGACCTCTTTGTGTCGGCGTGGTCTCAATGTCTACCCCTTTCTGTGGCACCGTTCCCCAAGTGCAAAACCTCACGGTGGATGTCTTTCCCCTGTACTGGTTGCTTGAGGTTATCTTGAGATGATTTCGGGGCTTAGCGTCCCCGTGGCCCGGTCTTCGACCAGGCCTCCTTTTTGTTACATGTCCCCCAGGAAGCAGCCCGTAGCAGCTGACTAACTCCCAGGTACCTATTTACTGCTAGGTAACAGGGGCATCAGAGTGAAAGAAACATTTTGCCCGTTTGTCTTTGCCTCCAAACAAACGCCTCCATCCCGTCGGGGATCGAACCCGGAATCTCAGGACTACGAATCCAATGCACTGTCCACTCAGCTGTCAGGCGACCCTGACAGCTGGGGAAGAGGAGGAAGAGGGGATTGCAGTGAGGATGCATTTACCTTTTTTCCCTGGTCCGGCTGTTACTACGATTGCTGGCATGGCTGGAGTCTTCCAAGGGGTGAGTGATTCTTCTGGCTCCTTGCTGGCTGGTCCAACCTTTTTTTAGGCTTCTTGCTTAGCGTTGGAACTCGGGTGTCTTTCCACAACACCGACTGTGGAAAGGCGCGTGACGTACCTCGTTGGTTCAATCTTCCCTCAGTTTTCCATGTCTGGACTTTTTGTCGCAGGTTTATCGCCATTTGTATGGTGACCAGGTGGCTGGTTTAACCTTTATGCTACATGGCTTCTATTGTGACACTTGACATTCTGGTGATGCGAAGAAAATAAAGTATTCCACAACCCCCTTCTTCCCCAGAACAAAAATACTTTGTAAATTGTTAAAATCCCTTCCCTGAACATGTACATGTAAACAAAAATATAAAAAGCAAGTTACTTTGGCTGTGGCGACCTGGAGAAGATGCGATGTGACATCACCAATACGTGTTCACCCATGCAGGGAGCTCCTAGAGGCGGTCGCACGGGCGATTCAAGACTCGCGATTTGCCACAAATATATTTTCATTAATTTTCCAATGCTTTCTAATTATTTTTTGTTATTGTATCTGATGCAAATTTGTGTCCTTTACAATATGTACTCAGTAGAATGTTCATAATGTTCCAAGGAACTGTGATACATGTGTCACTAATGTGTCCACAAAAAATGTTTATTGTTGCAATATTTTTTGTTCAATATTCAATTTATTTTACACTATGTACACTCTCACACACTATTTACAGTCATACACTATATTACACACTCCGTACTTCGAAAGTGAGTGATAATAAGAGAAGCAGTCTGTGGTACACAGTGCGATTTTGCACTCGATTTTGCACCAGGTACACACACATTTTCACTTCCCTTTTCTTCATGTTGTGTGCTTGCTAAGAGTGCTGTTATGTACACCCTTGTGGCTTTAGTTGGTGTAGGTGGTATGTAGCCAAGCTGGTGAAGTGTAAGGTAGTCTTCAAAAGATCTAGGAAGAGAACAAATCCACAAGGGCCGTGACGTTCACGCATTTGTAAATAAAGTTCATATGTAAAGTGTTCATAGGTCATCGCTCCCTGCACCTCTCCGAGGGAAGGGGTTATCTTGAGGTTATCTTGAGATGATTTCGGGGCTTTTTAGTGTCCCCGCGGCCCGGTCCTCGACCAGGCCTCCACCCCCAGGAAGCAGCCCGTGACAGCTGGCTAACACCCAAGTACCTATTTTACTGCTAGGTAACAGGGGCATAGGGTGAAAGAAACTCTGCCCATTGTTTCTCGCCGGCGCCTGGGATCGAACCCAGGACCACAGGATCACAAGTCCAGTGTGCTGTCCGCTCGGCCGACCGGCTCCTATTCCTAGGGGGGCCAGATTCTGGCTCGTGGTCCCCTGTAGGCCAATAGAACTCTGCAATCAATGACACCTAAGTTAGTTCAGTAGAACTTCGGTTTCAACTCGTTTTGACCATGTAGCTCAGTCGATTAAGGCAGCATCTGGGATGCTCTCGGACGTAGGTTTGAATCCTCGTCACGGCCCTTGTGGATTTGTTCATTTAAGTAAGTATTAATACTAAGTTGTTATTAATAATAAATATAAGTGGTAATTGAGGTATTAAATTAATAATAAATATATATATGTATAAATATAATTTTTTTAAAATAATTTTCATAATAAATTGTAGTTAAAACTTTACATTTCAGGATTCCGACAGTGAGAGTGATGACAGCAGTGACTCGTCGAGTCAGTCGTCCTCAGACTCTACAGCGCCACTGTACACTCTGAGAGCTCGCAGCTCACGTACTCTCAAGGAACAAGTGGAAGACTTTGATGAGATGATAAATGAAGCCATACGAGTAAGTTATTTAGTTGAAAGTACTTTTAGCATCACAAGGCCCTGATAACCATTCATCAGTATATTAATTAATCTGATAGTGCTTAACACTTATGGTTACTGTATTTGTTCTTAATGGCTTGTAATAAGTATTTGCTAAAAGATTGTTTTGTATATTAGGGATCCTTGTCAAAAAAATAATCTCTGAGCATAGCCCTTCAGTGTCTCCCTGAGTTTGTACTTATGGTCCAGCCGTGACTCTCAGATGTTCCAGGGTCTGTCGACTTTCACCCCATCTTGGCTAGTGTCTTTGGAAATTAACTTGCCATGTAATTTGGGGAAGAGAGACGAGGCTTGTCAACCCACCATCAAGGAATCTCTCGATGTAAGACGAGCATATATAAAATATCTAGAGTCCATCTGCAAGTGATCCTTTGATTCATAAGGAAAGCCTTGTGAAAATCATCTCATCTCTAAGGAAAGCTTTGTGAATTATCTCATCTCTCATCAAATATCTAACTACTTGTCCGTTAGTACCACTCCCCATAACGGCTGACTGCCATTGAAATGTAGCCCTCTACCAGACTATATTTGGGGTAAGCCAACAAGCTATGCCAGCTTACTGAACCTGGTGTTCAACCATCATGGTATAAAAGCTCTGTGAAAGACCTGGGGCTAGATTCACGAAGAAGTTATGCAAACATTTACGAACCTTTACATCTTTTCTCACTCTTTGGGGGCTTTGTTTACAATTATTAAACAGTTAAAGAATTTCGAAGCACCTGGAGGCTGTTTATAACAATAACAACAGTTGATTGGCAAGTTTTCATGCTTGTAAACTGTTTAATAAATGTAACCAAAGCCGTCAAAGATTGAGGAAAGATATGTACACGTTCGTAAGTACTTGAGTAACTGTTTCATGAATCTGGCCCCAGTTCAGTAAAATTCCTGTTTTGTATTTCAGTGTTTAAGTCGCATGCACAGTGACACGGTAAGTCTCTGATAAAGTCCAGGCTCAACTACTGTATTTCAAAGATTTTTTTTCTAGTGTGGAGTGTACTCGCCTAGTTGTACTCACCTAGTTGATAACATTCGAGGTTATCTTCACTGGTACTGTTTGTTGTATATCCTGAGCATGGTTCAGCTCTTCTTTGAGTTGTTACCGTTGGCGATGCTTAAAAACTTTGTCTCTTGATGAGGACTTTTAGGTTAGGCACTTAGTAATGAGTGAAACACACATTGGGAGGTAGTTATGCAGTTTTCTAGGTGTGCGTTCATGGCTCGTCTAAGCCTACGAGTTTAGCTTGAGGGGATAGTGTAGTTACTTATTGTTTCCTCTTTGTTTTGGCCACAGCCTGCACTTTGTTTTCCGTCATTGGGTGACTTATTTTGGTCACGGGTTTTGAGACGAATACTTTAACGTTATTTATTTTGATCTGCAATCTCGTTTCAACGAGTGTTTTGTTAAATCATTATTCTGTTTAATTGCAGAAATATTTGCTTTACCGTTTTGTGAATCGTTAGGTTATTGAAGGAAAGGGAAAAGGGAACCAGTGAGGACAGAGGTGAACTGGGAGAATGGGCTAAGTGTAATAATTTACAAATACTGTAACCCCGCGATTATCCGGGATTCAAACATCCGGAAAACGTCCTTATACGGCCAAAATCGTGATTGGATAAAGTTATCACAATATCCGGCTAAAATGGCCACAGGAACCGGATAAAAGCTGGTTTGGCCGGATGAATATTCGGCCATACCGTATTAATCCCGTCTGTGGCTCTAGACGCATGGTGGAGGAGGGGGTGGGGTGGGTGGGTGGTTTTGGGAGGGTGGGAGGGGTGCGTCGGAAGGGACCACCTGGGTACAGGAATTACCATTAATTTTAGAACACTTAATCATAGCCAAAAATAACTGAAATAAGTACTAGTAATTATGTAATAACAAATAAATAAGTTTCCTAAAAGTAATGTGCACAGGCTGAAGTTTCCTTCAAAAATATTGTGAGTTTTTTTTCCTCCTGGCGGCCTACGTAACGTGCTATAGCTGCCCCACCCCAAGTGGACCTGTCCAACACTGGTCAACCCATGTGCGTCCGTCCCTCGTGTTATACACAGTGCTGCGCCATTAGTGAAATATTTTTTTAAATAACTTTTTTATTTTCATAGTAACTTTGAACATTTTTGGCCAAGACTATGTCTGGTAGCAGCATCAATCGTTCTGGAGGTGTTAAGAGGAAGAAAGTTGTCCTAACAATTAAAGACAAGTTACTGTTATACACCTCAACCAGTGCGGCGTCACAGTGCTGCTCCATTAGTGAAATATTTTTTTAAATAACTTTTTTTATTTTCATAGTAACTTTGAACATTTTTGGCCAAGATTATGTATGGTAGCAGCATCAATCGTTCTGGAGGTGTTAAGAGGAAGAAGGTTGTCCTAGCAATTAAAGACAAGTTATGTGTTGTTCAACCAGTGAGGCGTCACAGGCAGCCAAATGCCTTCAACAAGTGAGGCGCCACAGGCAAGCCAAGCGCCTTTAACAAGCGAGGCGTCACAAGCAAGCCAAATGCCTTCAACAAGCGAGGCGTCACAAGCAAGCCAAATGCCTTCAACAAGTGAGACTTCACAGGCAAGCCAAGCGCCTTTAACAAGTGAGGCATCACAGGCAAGCCAAGCGCCTTTAACAAGTGAGGCATCACAGGCAAGCCAAGCGCCTTCAACAAGTGAGGGCATGCAAGCGTTTCAACAAATGAGGTGCATGGAAGCGCCTTCAACAAGCAAGGCCTCACAGGCAACCCAAATGCCTTCAACCAGTGAGGCTTCAGCAGCTGGCAGTCAAAACTAACTTTGCTTAATGAACTGTACAGTAATTTTAAGTGTTAATTTTAGTGTTGTGTTAGCATAGGTTACGTAAATTGTTAAGAATTCTTAACTTCAAGATGTGTGGCATCAATCAAGAAGACGAACACCATCAAGGTAAGTTGAGTTTTCTAGTTGAATATTTAATAATTATATGTGGCAAGGCAATTCAAATTATGTTGTTTTGTGGTATAAAAGTAGTTGGAAATTGTCACTTTTGGACTCATAGGTGAAAAAGTACCATTATCCGAAAAATGTGATAATCCGGCTGGGGGTCCTTCCCATATAGTCCGGATGATCGAGTGGAGACAGTAAACATCAGGAAAGGATAATAGATGGCAGGAAATGTAAGGAGAATTTATTGAATTTTCTTGTTATTTTGTCTCTCTCTGTAGGATGAAATGGAGGCTGCGGCAGGTGCCGGAAATGCCGGTCGAGGGAAAGACATAGATAATATTATCCAAGCAAATGATGAAGAAATTGCTGATAATGAAGACAAACATTCTGAAGATAAAGAGGAAAAGCAGGAACTTGAGGAAGAACAGGAACAAGAAAAAGAACAGGTGAAGGAGTTAAAGGAGGAAGTGGAGCAGAAGCAGGAGCTAGAGAAGGAGGAGCAACAAGAGCAGGAGCATAAAGAAGACGTGAGTGATCAGGCCAAAACTGAAGTAGCTAAGAAAGAAGAAGCCAAGAAGGAGGAAGACATGGAAGGCAAGAGAGAGTGGGAAGGAGACGACGAGGACGAGGACGAGGTGGCTCCGAAACGAAAGAAACCCAAGCCGGCTGAGAAGGTATTAAGAGGGGACGACGACTACAAAGAAAGTGACGACGTAAGTAAAAGTTCCACTTCAGTCTGGCCGAGGCCTCTTGTTCCAACTGATTTGTTTAAATTAGTTATTCACTGTAGATACATGTATATCATCATGATTTAGACATTACACACAGAAATCACAATAGCGTAATGTGTCAAATGAACAAATCCACAAGGGCCTTGATGAGGGTTCGAACCTACGTCTGAGAGTATCACAGGCGCTGCCTTAATCGACCGAGCTAAGCCATGGTAAAAGAATTGCAACCGGGAAATCATCCTGATTTACCAACGGGACGTAGGTTCGAACTCTCATCACGGCCCTTGTGGATTTGTTCATGATTTAGACATGTTTGTTTTTATATTTAGTTATAAAAGTATTTTCCATGTAATATCATGAGAGCCATTCCGATTTAGCTGAAATCTGCAAGAATTGTGTAAAATGGTAATAGAAAGGTTAATACTGGGTAGCGTTGCTCCCTAGTAGGAACTTTTAAATGCTGTTTAATCATGTGTCGGGCAGGATGGACTTAGTGCCATTGTATAAGTTAGTAAGCAGAAGTTCCATCTTCCAGAAGTGTACTGAACATTGTTGACTCGTGCTCTTATGTCTGGGAGTGTTGTTAATGGTCACAGCTTGAATTGCTGCCCAACAAGTTATTCACTTCACCCATTTTCCTTCTTTTCATTTTAATGTTTCAAAGTACAGCTTAGAATATTTCAGTCACATAGTGTGTGTGAATACCAGTATTGGACTCTTCCTTGTGGACTACTCTTGCAAAATCTTTCTCGCTGTGACACAACCTTACCATATGCGATGTACTTGCATGTTTCTTCAATAGATAATTCGGCAACTTGCGGAACACTGTATTACATGAACAATGTGCCGGTGTGTGTATTCAACTAGTTGTGCTTGCGGGGTTGAGCTCTGGCTCTTTGGTCCTGCCTCCTGCCTCTTGACTGTCAATCAACTGGTCTACAGATTACTGAGCCTACTGAACTCTTATCATATCTACATTTGAAACTGTGTTATGGAGTCAGCCTCCACCACATCACTGCCTTGTAACGGGGGGGGGGTTGGTGATGATCGTATGGTAGTAGTGAATGTCAAGTAAAGCAAAGTAAAAAGGAGGAAGGAGAGAGGAGGGGGGAAGAGAAGAGAGGGGGTGGGTAGATAGAACATGGGGGAGGGGCGAGCGGGAAAAGAAAACGGGGAGAGGGGAGGCAGGAGGGAGAGAATGAAGGAGGAGTAGAGTGATGTAGGAGGAATAAAAAGAAAGGGGGTGAGTAGACTGATTTTATTCTACTCTATCGATGATGTTATACTATACTGATATTCTAAGATGTTCTGAATGTTTGCTGCCACCACCTGTCATTGAATCTAAATTCACTTCCACTTAAACAATGCGACAGGAACACTGCTTAATTTAGTTATCTCTCACTTTTTCATCTAGATATCTCTCTAGCCTTAACTCTTACTTGTGGGGACATTGATTCAAAAAGAGGACTAAACAAAAGTCAAGTTTGTTATTCTACTCAGATATTTATTGAATCCAAACTTTCTCAAATTATTCCAATTAACAATTCTACACAGATATTTATTGAATCCAAATTTTCTCAAATTATTCCAATTAACACTTTGACATCCTACTATTTAACACAATATTGACCAAATTAAAAAGGGGGGGGGGGGGATCACCCACTCCATACACGCCCACACCATACATGGCTAAATGGTTCAGACTCCACTAGCTTGTCACCACTAAGACACCCAATCAAGACAATGCATTACCGACACTCTTACCTCACAACTCAGATGGATACACCCTGAGGGTGCCTGGAGTGTCACCCGTCAGGGTGAGGAAGACTGGCTGGTCACCTTCTCTCTCTGTGTAAGGCGGTTGCTAACTGAATCTCCCAGCCCTCCCCAACGTGGAGAAAGCTGTGTACTCTCTTCCTCATGCCCAAATAAGGCCCGAGAAGCAAAACTAACCCTTATAGGACCCAGGCAGGTCTTGCAGTATACAAGGCTCTCCTTGTTCAATATAGTACTCAGCACAAGCCAGCCCACTCCTCCACTACCACAGCCTCCTCACCCACACACACCCACACGCACCCACACGCACCCACACGCACGCACACACACACCCACACGCACGCACACACACACACACACACACACACACACACACACACACACACACACACACACACACACACACACACACACGCACGCACGCGCGCGCGCACACGCGTACGTAGAACTCACAATTATACTTCACAATTATACATGAAAGAGTGCAAAATACTTGCACTGTTACAGCCTAATGCAATCCATCTGTTAACTAATCTGACACTGAAAAAGCTCTTTCTAAAATCCTTGTGGCTCATTTGGGTCCCCTCTGTGTCCCCTTGTTCGCGTACCACCCATGTACGCGAATGCCTGTGTGTGGGTGTGTATAATCACCTAGCCTATTTGTGCCTGCAGGATCAAGCGTTGGCTCTTGAATCCTGCCTTTCTAGCCTTCGATTGTTTAAAGCAATGACTCCTGTCCTACTTCTCTATCATACCTGGTTTTGAAGCTACGAATAGTGTTTGCTTCCACGATGTGCTCCTTTAGTTCATTCCCTTTCCCCACTACTCTCTTGCTTAAATAAAACTTTCTAACATCTCTTTGACTCGTCTGATTTTCCAACTTCCACCCATACACTCTTGTGCTGTTGGTATTCAGTGTGAACATTTCTTAAACCTCCACTCTGTTGATCTCCCGAAGTATTTTGTATGCTGCTATCATACCTCCTGGCCCCCTCCTTTTTTCTAACGTCGACAGGTTCAATTCCTTCATTCGTTCTTCATATCCCATCCCGTGTAACTCTGGGACTAGCCTCGTTGCAAATTTTGTAATCTTTTCCAGTTTCCTAAGGAAGCCGGTCGGCCAAGCAGACAGCACGCTGGACTTGTGATCCTGTGGTCCCGGGTTCGATCCCGGGCCCCGGTGAGAAACAATGGGCAGTTTCTTTCACCCTATGCCCCTCTTACCTAGCAGTAAAATAGGTACCTGGGAGTTAGTCAGCTGTCACGGGCTGCTTCCTGGGGGTGGAGGCCTGGTCAAGAACCGGGCCACGGGGACACTGAAGACCCGAAATCATCTCAAGATAACCTCAAGATCTCAAGATAATGCATTTCTTTAGGTGGGGGTCAATGATGGGGCTGCATACTCTTAAGAATGGTCTCACGTAGGAAGTGTAAAGAGCTCTGAATGCCTCCTCACTTAGGTTTCTTACCTAGGTGTTACTTCGTGTCTCACTTGCTTGTGCTTCTACTTAGTGACAGTTGGTGAAAGTGACACGGTAATAGTCGGGTAGTTCACCAGGATTCTGCTTGCCAATGACTGTATTGTATTTCCAAATTGTTTGGGATAAGGTTTTGGGTTTATGTTAAGCTCTTCTCTTGCTTTTATTTTGGGCTGAATGTAGTATTTTCTAATATCTCCCTATCATTATTGTGATCTGATGAGGGAAGTGTGATGATGAGGTCGATCACAATCGACTCAAGAATGGTCCAGGACGGACCAAAACGTCGTCGTCCCTTCACTTTCTAGTGTGTGGTCTGGTTAACGTATTTCAGCCACGTTATTGTGACTCCTCGCCTGCTGATGAGGGAACATTTTGAGACGGTCTCAACAGCATCTCTGTATTATGTAGACTACTGACATGCAGTGACTGCAGTAGATTCTATTGAGGAGGGTAGTAGGATGCAGAATATGAAAATGCAGAATAGAACCAGTGAAGAGCAGAGGTGCCATAGGCACAATCAGAGAACACTGTATAAACATAAGAGGTCCGCGGCTGTTCAACATACGCCCAACGACTAGAGGAAATATTGCCGGAACAACCGTGGACATCTTCAAGAGAAAACTAAACTGTTTTCTAAAAGAAGTTCTGGACCAACCAGGCTGTGGTGGGTATGTGGGCCGCTCCAAGCAACAGCCTGGTGGATCAAACTGTCACGAGTCAAGCCTGGCCTTGGGCCGGGCTTGGGCAGAAGAAGAACTCCCAGAACCCCATCAAGCAGGTATATGTGGGCCTGCAGGCCAATCCAAGCAACAGCCTGGTGGACCAAACTCTCACAAGTCAAGCCTGGCCTCGGGCCGGGCTTGGGCAGTAGAAGAACTCCCAGAACCCCATCAAGCAGGTATATGTGGGCCTGCGGGCCACTCCAAGCAACAGCCTGGTGGATCAAACTGTCACGAGTCAAGCCTGGCCTCGGGCCGGGCTTGGTCAGTAGAAGAACTCCCAGAACCCCATCAAGCAGGTATATGTGGGCCTGCGGGCCGCTCCAAGCAACAGCCTGGTGGACCAAACTCTCACAAGTCAAGCCTGGCCTCGGGCCGGGCTTGGGCAGTAGAAGAACTCCCAGAACCCCATCAAGCAGGTATATGTGGGCCTGCGGGCCGCTCCAAGCAACAGCCTGGTGGACCAAACTCTCACAAGTCAAGCCTGGCCTCGGGCCGGGCTTGGGCAGTAGAAGAACTCCCAGAACCCCATCAAGCAGGTATATGTGGGCCTGCGGGCCGCTCCAAGCAACAGCCTGGTGGACCAAACTCTCACAAGTCAAGCCTGGCCTCGGGCCGGGCTTGGGCAGTAGAAGAACTCCCAGAACCCCATCAAGCAGGTATATGTGGGCCTGCGGGCCGCTCCAAGCAACAGCCTGGTGGACCAAACTCTCACAAGTCAAGCCTGGCCTTGGGCTGGGCTTGGGCAGTAGAACAACTCCCTGAACCCCATCAAGCAGGTATATGTGGGCCTGCGGCCGCTCCAAGCAACAGCCTGGTGGACCAACTCTCACAAGTCAAGCCTGGCCTCGGGCCGGGCTTGGGCAGTAGAAGAACTCCCAGAACCCCATCAAGCAGGTATATGTGGGCCTGCGGGCCGCTCCAAGCAACAGCCTGGTGGACCAAACTCTCACAAGTCAAGCCTGGCCTCGGGCCGGGCTTGGGCAGTAGAAGAACTCCCAGAACCCCATCAAGCAGGTATATGTGGGCCTGCGGGCCGCTCCAAGCAACAGCCTGGTGGACCAAACTCTCACAAGTCAAGCCTGGCCTCGGGCCGGGCTTGGGCAGTAGAAGAACTCCCAGAACCCCATCAAGCAGGTATATGTGGGCCTGCGGGCCGCTCCAAGCAACAGCCTGGTGGACCAAACTCTCACAAGTCAAGCCTGGCCTCGGGCCGGGCTTGGGCAGTAGAAGAACTCCCAGAACCCCATCAAGCAGGTATATGTGGGCCTGCGGGCCGCTCCAAGCAACAGCCTGGTGGACCAAACTCTCACAAGTCAAGCCTGGCCTCGGGCCAGGCTTGGGCAGTAGAAGAACTCCCAGAACCCCATCAACCAGGTATATGTGGGCCTGCGGGCCGCTCCAAGCAACAGCCTGGTGGACCAAACTCTTACAAGTCAAGCCTGGCCTTGGGCCAGGCTTGGGCAGTAGAACAACTCCCAGAACCCCATCAACCAGGTATATGTGGGCCTGCGGGCCGCTCCAAGCAACAGCCTGGTGGACCAAACTCTTACAAGTCAAGCCTGGCCTTGGGCCAGGCTTGGGCAGTAGAAAAACTCCCAGAACCCCATCAACCAGGCATCAACCAGATCTTGTCTTAACCCTTGGGCTGCACTAGGCAATAGGAGTAGACTCTCAAAAGGTGGCCCTAGAATGTAATAACTGACCCCAGTTCATGTGCCTAGGAAAATGTTCATAAATTTTATAATGTTGAACCAGGTTCTCTGGCCTTCGAAACATGTTCCTCGACCTAGCAAATTATTGATGATGTTTGGAGATGCAAGTTTGGAGAATGTTTGTTTATATATATTTTGGTTTTTTTAAATGTTCAAGATTCATTCTCCTCGTTTTGTCTTGAAATGATTAATTACAATGTCAAAGGGTAATTTTGTCATAATTAAAAATGTAAAGACGCTAATTAAAGATTAGGTTTCTGTTAGGTATATTATATGTTCCAATATGTTTTTAAATTATATTCAGAAAGTGTCATTTTTATTGTTTGATTCAGTGGTACTAGTGGGGCCAGTAAGGGATTTTGCAGTGCCAATGTCTGGAGATTGGTAAGGTAATAGTAATATGGAGCTTAGCTTCCTGTCAATACGTAGGCACCAAATGGCACCATGATGCTTGTAAAATGTCTTTTCTAAAATTGGCCAACAAGTAAGATGTGTAGCTATACAGTACTGTAATAAACAAATCCACAAGGGCCGTGACGAGGATTCGAACCCACATCCGAGAGGATCCCAGACGCTGCCTTAATCGACTGAGCTACGACATGGATACGATGCATCGCGCTATTGTGATTTCTGTGTGTAGTACTGTTATAAATTAAATGGTGATTGTTTGTCTATAGCAAGATGGCACTATAGGCTTTTTATTATGTGGATCTGTGTTGTAGCATTTTGAAGTGCCGTTGATGCAATACAAGTGAGAAGTGTGGAACATAAAGTGTATGGTGCAAGTAAATACTGGGCAAAATTGGTTTATTAACTAAATATATTGTGCATTAGCTAGTGTTATGCTACATAACACACTATTTTTTGTATTATGAAAATACAGTAGAGTATTGCCAAGCTAATGGGTGTATTAATGAGTTTATATAATTGTATATTTGTCTCATTAGCAGGAAGAAGACTCTGAATCTGAAGACAATGTTAAAGTGTCTAGAAAGCGAGAGCGGAAAGTTGTGACTGTTACTGTCAAAAAGAGAAGACGGCTCACTGACCTGGATGCTGAAGATGACGACGATGCTAGTGATGAAGATTTTATGAATACAAGGTAATTTACCTGCTGTTGATGACCAATCCACACTAGAAAATGAAGGGACGACGACGTTCCGGTCCGTCCTGGACCATTCTCAAGTCGATTGTGAGAATGGTCCAGGACGGACCGAAATGTCGTCGTCTCTTCATTTTCTAGTGTGTGGTCTGGTCAGCATCAGCCACTTTATTGTGACTCATCGCCTGCATATGATTACCTGCTATTGAAATTGGCTAAAACTCATCTCAAGATAATAACCTCACGAAGATGAAACAAGTTACAGAGTAGCATAAGAGAAGTGGTGTCATCTAGTTGTTTGAAGCAATGGTTAGAAATTAGTAGCTGCTATCTCACATGTGTTAATAGGCATTATGTGATTATATTTTTACGTTTTTTTACATGTTTCGTATTATCTAAATGGCTTTTATTCTTTTTCATTTATCCGTAGTGAGGAGGAGGAAGAGGAGACAGATGAGTCTGTGGAATCATCATCATCCATTGACACAGATGTTGACAGTGATGACTCTGATGTTGTTGGAGGGAAACGTCGTCGAGGAAGCAGGTGGGAGAGCCTGCCTCTCCGTCGATCAGCACGTAACCGAAGGGGTGGAATGGACGATGAAGGTGTGTACTTCATATTTACTGTATTGTATTTGGTTTTATCATATATATTTTTTAACAGGTTTCTGTTTAACACTATTGCCCACTAACTAACGAACTAACAAACATTATAAAAAATGTTTGTTCTTTATTGACTTGAAGCTTAAAATAGTGTATTTCTGCTCAAAATGGTGGACATGTGCCCTTCTGTCCTTGTGTCTGGCCCCTTGCCCCTTCTGGTGCAATGGAGGTTGGCTATTTTCTATTATTATATAGCAAAGAAATTGTGTGGTTTAATATGATAATAGGGCAAGTGTGAATTTTGCTGACTAAATCATAGAATTTTGTTATTTTCAAGTATTTTTAACATTTTCGTTGCATTTTACATTTTTCAACGCCGAACTTTGGTCTGTTGACCAAAGGTTTTAGAAGCAACTAAGCGCTGCCTGTCATAAATTTATATGATGCGGATCACTATCACTCTGTGCTTTAGTAGCAACCGGGGAAAGTATACACTTCCCATCTGGGGAGCGGTTAGTTGTTTCTGGAATCTTTCCTTATTAAATCTGCTCATAGCACAGTGGTTAGAGCTTTTGTCTCCCACTTGTGGGGTCAGTGGTTCGAGTCTCCTAGTGCCCAGGTGAGTGAAAGGCTTATTACTGTAGTAGTGTGGTTGACAATTTATATAAGATATAATATAAATTCATCCAATTTCATAGAAATGGCTAATTCTGGGACACCCTGTATTTCATGGAGATCTTAATATCATTGAGATTGATTGTTTTTTGTCCTGGTTATATATGGTGATCTTACTTTAACTGGTCTTGGTCATGGTTATAAATCACGGTGATTTTACCTTAAATGTTGTTGGTTGTGGTTATAAATCACGGTGATTTTACCTTAAATGTTGTTGGTCGTGGTTATAAATCACGGGGATCTTACCTTAGATGTTGTTGGTCGTGGTTATAAATCACGGTGATGTTACCTTAACACTTTCGCCCGGGCATGACGCAGCATTGCATCATCCGTTTACTGTCGGTAATGCCGGGGATGACGCAACATTGCGTCATCCGTTTACTGTCGGTAATGCCGGGGATGACGCAGCATTGCGTCATCCACTTTAAATAATCGCCAAAAATCAGGTTTTTGTCCGATTTTTTTGGGACTGGTTTTAAAATGCGCGCCGATGTCTTCCCATTTTCTTTGTTGAGCCTCGTGGCCCTCAGGCGGCTTGGCACACGCCGTGGGCCCAATGTTTTCGCTCCACTGTTGTGACCAATGTCGCCTCCTCTCGCTTCTCAAACGTGTGAACATTTCGGCTATTTTCCGTGGCTATATTTCTTACTGCAGCTTTAGAAACTATCTACGCTTACTCCACGATGGATAGTGATCATGAACAAGGCCCTTCCAGGAAGAAAATTGCGAAAGAAAGGCTTGAAAAGGGCGGGAATTGGGAGTGTAGCTGGAAGGCGTCTGAGCGCTCACTTGCGGCTAACGCGTGGCCCGTCTTCAACTCATCGGCGGTTGGAGCGTGACCAGGTTTTTTATTTTATATGCTAATGTTCCTCTAGAGAATTCTATTGCGAACCCATTGAGACCAAAATGAAAGACCTAGGACGAAAATTGAGGTGACCAGAGTGAAAATAGTGAAAACATTTTATCGCGTTTGCGCGCTCCTGGGTAACTCGTTCGCACTTTCTCTGTTTGCTGCGATTAATTAGCCGGGCTTTTGGAGTTTATATGCATTTAGTGCTGTAGAGAATTGTATTGCGAACACAATGATACAAAATTTAATCTTGTAGGACGAGAATTAAGGTGACAAAGTTGAAGAGAGTATACACTTTTCAGAATTTACGTGCGCTCCCGTGACACCCTGGGTCCCATATCGCACAGTTGATGGGTGGCGCGCGGGGTACGCCAAAGTGTTAAATGTTGTTGGTCGTGGTTATAAATCACGGTGATTTTACCTTAGATGTTGTTGGTCGTGGTTATAAATCACGGTGATTTTACCTTAGATGTTGTTGGTCGTTGTTATAAATCACGGTGATTTTACCTTAAATGTTGTTGGTCGTGGTTATAAATCACTGGGATCTTACCTTAAGTAACAGTTCATATTTGATTCAAAGCCTCATTTTGATGAGCCTCCATGTAATAGATATCATTAGTGCTGAGTAACCATTGCTTCTAAATATGTGATCATTTTATTATCTATTGTGGGGCTGTTGTGGGTAACAAGTACGGTGTTCCAATACACACACAAATCACAAGAACGTGATATATCAAACGAACAAATCAACAAAGGGCTGTGATGAGGGTTCGAACCTACGTACGGAATGTTCCCAGACGTGCCTTAGTCAACTGTACCACCACGTGGTTGTACTATGTACTTACTTTCTTACTGTACTATGTAGCCGGTCGGCCGAGTGGACAGCACGCTGGACTTGTGATCCTGTGGTCCCGGGTTCGATCCCAGGCGCCGGCGAGAAACAATGGGCAGAGTTTCTTTCACCCTATGCCCCTGTTACCTAGCAGTAAAATAGGTACCTGGGTGTTAGTCAGCTGTCACGGGCTGCTTCCTGGGGGTGGAGGCCTGGTCGAGGACCGGGCCGCGGGGACACAAAAGCCCCGAAATCATCTCAAGATAACCTCAAGATATGTGGTGGTACAGTTGACTAAGGTGCGTCTGGGAACTTCTCATGCGCAGGTTCGAATCCTCATCACGGCCCTTTGTGGATTTGTTGGTGGTCTTCCAAGTTTTCAGCGTGCAGGTTTTTCATTTGTTTTTATTATATATTTTACAGATAGTGAAGTGGAAGAGAAATTTACTAAAAAGCAGAAAAACAAAAAGAAGAAGAGACGAAGACAAAGCTCAAGTGAAGAAGAAGAAGCGAGTTCAGAAAGTGACAGAAGTTATAAACGCAAGAAGAAAGTGTAAGTTTGAGATACACGTTTGATGAGATTTTGAGAGGAGGAAACTTTTTAGTGGTGCTTGTATATATGGTAGTTGTTAATGGGTTAGCTTAATGAGACAGCAGCCTACATTCACCCAGACGGGATCATCATAGCCCGTGCTACTTAGAACGTTTTGTTCCCAGTAGCTGAATTTTAAACAACAACAACAACAACTACATTCACCTTTTTCTCTACATAGCTCAGTATATTGACATTATTATTGTCTTATAATGTGTTAACAAATCAAAAGAGAAATGCAGGTAATACAACTAACAGAACTGATGTAATGGGGATATATATTTTTTAATTCAAATCTATTTTATTATTCAAGTACTTATACATTGAATATCTTTGTGGGGTAAGAGGACATTTATTAATAAACAAATAACACAAGATGCTCATGTGAAAATGGCAGGGCTGACATTTTGGTCCATGCTAGTTCCTCATCGCGTCAAAGCTGAGGGACGAGAGGAAGGAACCATTATAAGGCAAGTGAGGCGGGGAAGTGTCAGTGGGTAAAGGAAGGTACGAATACCCAGATAAAAGCAACTGGTCTCTCGCGTGCTTTTTAGTAGTTTCTTTCCTGTTATTTCCTCAGCTTCAAGGTGGTGATGGACCAAAACTTTGTCCCTGCTATTGTAAGAGTCTTACACTGTTCCATGTTGTAATTGTGCATGTGTGTGTGTGTTTAGGGGAGAGGGAGTTGTAACACCCATTAAGGGAGCATGTCGGCCGAGCGGACAGCACGCTGGACTTGTGATCCTGTGGTCCCGGGTTCGATCCCGGGCGCAGGCGAGAAACAATGGGCAGAGTTTCTTGTTACCTAGCAGTAAAATAGGTACCTGGGAGTTAGTCAGCTGTCATGGGCTGCTTCCTGGGGGTGGAGGCCTGATTGAGAACCAGGCTGTGGGGACACTGAAGCCCCGAAATTATCTCAAGATAACCTCAAGACCCCTAAACATGCGCACACACACAACTACACAATTACAAAGTGGAACTGTGTAAGACACTTACACTGTTACACCATTTTCATGTGTGTGTGTGGGATGGGTTATTTGTTTCTCAACCACATAGTTGTGATGTATTCTCTGCACAGGGCTTAGTGTTTATCTGGGAAGTGGAGTCAAATTATCACAGGTTTTGGATGAAAGGAATTGAGGCTCTGATGGATGCATAGGGATGTTGACAACTGAATGGATAGAGGGATTCATGGAATGGAGAATAAGGCCGAGGAAACAGTATGATCAAGACGACACTACTTTTATTAATGAGTACTTCGCAACATTTTCTCAAACCTTGTGTTATTCCCCCCCTATGGACAGCGCCTTGACGTGGCGGGGGGGCTTGAGCTACTCCCATGACCCATCGGGCAGATGAGTGCGGCTTGTGATGCCCCTTTTCTGGCTGAAGGAGAGGAGTCAGACTAAGCTGTCCACCGCTGCTTCATGACATCCATGTGTTTGCCGTGCATGGTAACCATATACTTCCCATTTTCCTTCTCCTGGAACTGGGGTCTACCCGGGGGCTGCGGCATCTGGGTAGCATTCTGCTTCTTCGATGGGAGATTGGGGTGAGACAGGAAGTTCAGTGTGGTCGTGTTGAATTAATCTCCGAGTGATCCTTGACTAGGGTCATGCAGGCAGTGGGAGGGCAAGCCCTTCTCAGTTGTGGGGAGGCACTAGACTCCTCCACTAGTTAGTTTTGTTTAGTTTTATATTACCTGTCAGCTGTCCCTGTCAGGAGTGGGCCTGACAGCAAGAGTAGACAGTGCTCGGGATTCGTAGTCCTAATGTTCCGGGTTCGATCCCCGGCAGAGGCGGAAACAAATGGGCAGAGTTTCTTTCACCTTGATGCTTCTGTTGCCTAGCAGTAAATAGGTACCTGGGAGTTAGACAGCTGTTACGGGCTGCTTCCTGGGGATGTGTAACAAAAAGGAGACCTGGTCGAGGACCGGGCCGCGGGGACGCTAAACCCCAAAGTCTTCATAAGCCAAGATAACCTCTGATGGTGTTGATATCATACCCTCTATTCAGGACACACTGGTGGGTATCAGTTCAAAAACATGAAGTAGAATGTGCATTTAAAAGGAAGTTCCTCCCGAGACTCGCTCGGTGGATGACCAGGTCTGCTAGTTTAATTTCAGTGTATGATCTTTCAGGGGCAAGCTATGAACTCCTGGTGAATACTCCATTTCCCTTGAGTTTGGCAGTCAGAGTAGAAGGGGGTGCAGCCCCTCTCACCTACATAACCTTAATGTCTGCAGCCCTTCAAACTCTTCAAATAGTATCGGACACCTCAAAGCCCCAATATGGAATTTTCAAACACAATGAGAGTAGTAAAGTCAGTTGAATGATATTCCCCAAATCCCATTGTACAGAAAATACAGGAATGATCTACTGACTTTCCACCAAAACAAATCTGTATAGCCATGTGGTCTTCGACTTATGTTAGTATTCTTGAGAGTGAAGAGGAAGAAGGCCAGCAATATGCCGCTAATTCTGATTGCAAGTAACAAAAATAAACTCTTCCCTGTGATTGAATTAACTACATATTAAGATACTCTCAAAATTGACAATTTGCAGCATGCTTATGAGTTACCAACAGCCTGACAGATGAGCTATCCTGAGGTTCCAGGTCCGATCCTCGGTGGAGGCGGAAACAGATGGGCAGAGTTTCTGTCACCCTGATGCCCTGTTCACCTAGCAGTAAATAGGTACCTGGGAGTTTGACAGCTGCTATGGGCTGCTTCCTAGGAATGTGTAACAAAAAGGAGGCCTGGTCGAGGACCGGGCCGCGGGGACGCTAAACCCCGAAATCAACTCAAGATAACCTGAAGATAACCTACTACAAGAAGGTACAGTGACAATGTGGTGCAAATAAGAGCACACACCTGATGATCCTTTCAAATATGTTTAATCTTAACCTTTTCCGGGAAGGTCTCTCAGTAGCTTCCTGATGCTACATCCTGGCTGTAACCAAGCCTGAGACCATAGACTCAAAGCTCATTCCTCTCTGGTATGCACAATTAGGTGAGTACATATCCCAGGAGCACCTACTGGGGCCCTGGACCCCCAATATTGGTAAGAAGGAAACCTGGAATTAGAGATCACCACAGAACCAAACGAAAAAGGTCACCAAATACACAGCCTCAAAATCAGCTGCTACTTAGGGGTCTTGCCCAGCTCCATTCATGAGCCTGTTGTTGACCTGGGACTAGCTTCTCTGTAGGGCCCCCAGCAGCAACTTAATGGGTCTTGCCCAGCCCCATTCATGAGCCTGGTGTTAACCTGGGACAAGCTTCTCTGTAGGGCCCCCAGCAGCAACTTAGGGGTCTCACCCAGCTCCATTCATGAGCCTGGTGTTAACCTGGGACTAGCTTCTCTGTGGGGCCCCCAGCAGCAACTTAGGGGTCTCACCCAGCCCCATTCATGAGCCTGGTGTTGACCTGGACAAGCTTCTCTGTAGGGCCCCCAGCAGCAACTTAGGGGTCTCACCCAGCCCCATTCATGAGCCTGGTGTTAACCTGGGACAAGCTTCTCTGTGTGGCCCCCAGCAGCAACTTAGGGGTCTCACCCAGCCCCATTCATGAGCCTGGTGTTAACCTGGGACTAGCTTCTCTGTAGGGCCCCCAGCAGCAACTTAGGGGTCTCACCCCGCCCCATTCATGAGCCTGGTGTTGACCTGGACAAGCTTCTCTGTAGGGCCCCCAGCAGCAACTTAGGGGTCTCATCCAGCTCCATTCATGAGCCTGGTGTTGACCTGGGACAAGCTTCTCTGTAGGGCCCCCAGCAGCAACTTAGGGGTCTCATCCAGCACCATTCATGAGCCTGGTGTTAACCTAGGACTAGCTTCTCTGTTGGGCCCCCAGCAGCAACTTAGGGGTCTCACCCAGCCCCATTCATGAGCCTGGTGTTAACCTGGACAAGCTTCTCTGTAGGGCCCCCAGCAGCAACTTAGGGGTCTCACCCAGCCCCATTCATGAGCCTGGTGTTAACCTGGGACAAGCTTCTCTGTAGGGCCCCCAGCAGCAACTTAGGGGTCTCACCCAGCCCCATTCATGAGCCTGGTGTTAACCTGGGACTAGCTTCTCTGTAGGGCCCCCAGCAGCAACTTAGGGGTCTCACCCAGCCCCATTCATGAGCCTGGTGTTGACCTGGACAAGCTTCTCTGTAGGGCCCCCAGCAGCAACTTAGGGGTCTCATCCAGCACCATTCATGAGCCTGGTGTTGACCTGGGACAAGCTTCTCTGTAGGGCCCCCAGCAGCAACTTAGGGGTCTCATCCAGCACCATTCATGAGCCTGGTGTTGACCTGGGACAAGCTTCTCTGTAGGGCCCCCAGCAGCAACTTAGGGGTCTCACCCAGCCCCATTCATGAGCCTGGTGTTGACCTGGACAAGCTTCTCTGTAGGGCCCCCAGCAGCAACTTAGGGGTCTCACCCAGCCCCATTCATGAGCTTGGTGTTAACCTGGGACTAGCTTCTCTGTAGGGCCCCCAGCAGCAACTTAGGGGTCTCGCCCAGCCCCATTCATGAGCCTGGTGTTGACCTGGACAAGCTTCTCTGTAGGGCCCCCAGCAGCAACTTAGGGGTCTCATCCAGCACCATTCATGAGCCTGGTGTTGACCTGGGACAAGCTTCTCTGTAGGGCCCCCAGCAGCAACTTAGGGGTCTCATCCAGCACCATTCATGAACCTGGTGTTGACCTGGGACAAGCTCCTCTGTAGGGCCCCCAGCAGCAACTTAGGGGTCTCACCCAGCCCCATTCATGAGCCTGGTGTTGACCTGGACAAGCTTCTCTGTAGGGCCCCCAGCAGCAACTTAGGGGTCTCACCTAGCACCATTCATGAGCCTGGTGTTAACCTGGGACAAGCTTCTCTGTAGGGCCCCCAGCAGCAACATAGGGGTCTCACCCAGCACCATTCATGAGCCTGGTGTTGACCTGGGACAAGCTTCTCTGTAGGGCCCCCAGCAGCAACTTAGGGGTCTCATCCAGCACCATTCATGAGCCTGGTGTTAACCTGGGACAAGCTTCTCTGTAGGGCCCCCAGCAGCAACTTAGGGGTCTCACCCAGCCCCATTCATGAGCCTGGTGTTGACCTGGGACTAGCGTCTCTGTAGGGGCCCCAGCAGCAACTTAGGGGTCTCATCCAGCCCCATTCATGAGCCTGGTGTTGACCTGGGACAAGCTTCTCTGTAGGGCCCCAGCAGCAACTTAGGGGTCTCATCCAGCACCATTCATGAGCCTGGTGTTGACCTGGGACAAGCTTCTCTGTAGGGCCCCCAGCAGCAACTTAGGGGTCTCATCCAGCCCCATTCATGAGCCTGGTGTTGACCTGGGACAAGCTTCTCTGTAGGGCCCCCAGCAGCAACTTAGGGGTCTCACCCAGCCCCATTCATGAGCCTGGTGTTGACCTGGACAAGCTTCTCTGTAGGGCCTCTCATCTCATGTTAACCACAAGATAAATGGTGTTGTTATATATACTGCTTTGGTCAGCAGTGTGCAGTGGAGCAAAGTTCTCATCCTGTAACAGGTAAGTATGTTTCTTTTTGTATCAAAAGTCCCTTGTCTTGTTTGCCGAAGACTTATTCTTTGTGTCTGGTCTACCTGTTTGACCACTTTTTCCTCTTTAGGCCCATTCTTGGCTGGAAATCATGACTTCTCTTGCTTCTGGGCATGAAAGCACTGTCAGTAGTTCTCCAGAATGCAAGTCATTACACTTTATGGATGTGGGTCACTCTTGTCACCTCTGTCCTTCTGCCTCGGGTGTGCATGTTTGTTGTTGTGGTTGTTGGACATGTGTTTTAGCTTGGCCACCTTTTGGTTGGCAGTTTACCAAGCGATGGTTGCATTATGGGATCAGGTCTTCCCGTTCCATCTTTAGCAGCCCCATCGCCCTCCTTACAGTTCTGGGCTGGTGGTGGTGTACCCTTATTGTTCTACATCGAAGAAGGTAATCAGTTGGATTTGAACACCTGTACCGGGTTCACTCCTTCCCATTTTGCTGCCTCTTCATCTGCCACCACGGGGCCGGCCCTTCCGGCTTCTGTTCTCTCGGCTTCTCAGGATACCCTGTTAGTTTGTATGCTGGTGTTGCATTGAGCTGGGGTCCAGGGGGGGCCCTGATGGATTGGAGGCTTGCAGCCTTAGGCTTCGAGATATGCAACCCCCAATCCTTGGGGGGTTGCTCCATTCAGGTCACTGATGAGTTTTTGTTTTTCTGGTTCATAGGTTCTGCTTTCCTTGTAGGGTGATAACTGTTCATCTTTGTTCTGTGCTGGTTCATTCCTGGTTGAACCGCGCCTGACCCCTCAAAATGCTGTTACATCTTTGCCACCACACGCCTCAGCTGAGGTTATCTTGAGATCTTGATATCAGTTGGTGTCTCACTTTTTGGCATTCAATTGATTCTGCAGGAAGGCCCACGTGATCTCACCAGGCATTTTGGGGTTTGTGTGCACCCACATTTTTCTGAGGGTACCCCATTTTACCTTTCCAAGAAGTTTGTTTTCAAGGGCTCCTCTGTTTGCCTTGAAGTTCTGTTATTGCTGCAGTATTTGGCCTTCAAGATGGTCTCATTCATCTTTCTCCCTTCCATTCCTGTCCTGTTCCAGTTGCCTTGGCTCTCGGCTGGTGATTGGTGGTTGATTCTGGCCTATGGAAACATTTTCCACTGGCGGGTGAGAGCGTCTCGGTTTGTGCATTGGTGGTGGTTCTGGCGATGCTCTTATTAGGTCCTCACATGTTCATAGCACATACCTTTGTTCTCTGTGTTCTCTCTTGTTTGTGTGGGTTTGTTTCCTAGTGACGTCTGTTCTATTCAGGTTTCAGTATTACCTCAATTTCCATCTCTTATTCATGTTCCACTCAGTTGCATTATGTTCTCCCATATTCCTGTATGTTCTATCTTGTTGTCCAGTGTTCCTTTTTTTCCTGCTGAGCCCACATCCTTCTCTCCAGTTTCATCTGTTTATTGTCCTACTTTGTCCTCTTCCTCCCCCTTTCTCTTCCTCTTCAATTGGCTACTAAAAACACATTGTAAACACGTACGATTTTATTTTCAGGTCACGAAAAAAGAAACCCCAAGCAAGATCCAAAGGCAAGAAAGGCAAGAGCAAAGGTGGCAGAAAACAAGCCAAATCCAAGACCAAACCCAAAAGAGAAAGTGGAGACGAGGGGGAAGACAAGGAGAAGAAGCCTCCCAAACCCAGAGTCAGTAATATTATCTTGTTTTTCTCCTCCAAAAATGTTAACTAATGGATTGATAAATATGTTAGTACAGTATAACAAAAAAACATTTTTTTCCTTTACTCTAACTTAGCAACCATACGAAACCCCAAACAGGCCAATTATTGCAGGCGATGAGTCACAATAACGTGCCTGAAGAATGTTGACCAGACCACACACTAGAAGGTGAAGGGCCGACGACGTTTCGGTCCGTCCTGGACCATTCTCAAGATCGACTTGAGAATGGTCCAGGACGGTCCGAAACGTCGTCGTCTCTTCACCTTCTAGTGTGTGGTCTGGTCAACAGGCCAATTATTCCTCAATACAATACAGTTTAACATTGGTAAAAACTATTGCAAACTACGTTAGTAATTCACGAAGTGAAATACTATTCTTGGAAGAAATATTTACAAGTTACTGTATGGTATATAACATTTCTTTGGCTGTTGGGCAAAATGGTCCTTGCTTACTAGGCCTAGTAGTACAGTTCTGACAATTAGATATGATACTATGACAACTCTTAACTTATCCAAACTATACAGGAAAGAGCCCCTCACCAGGTAAGCTGGACTTCCGGATAAGAATGAATTATTACCAGGAAAGTAAACAAATTTACATTTGTAGCTTTTTTGTACCACAACCAACGTAGTGCTGTACCTGTAATTTGAATTTCCACACACACTATAAATAAAAACTGTAATTCAAAACAGAAACTTCAGCTTACCTTGTTGTAGTATGTCTTCTTGATTGATTTTGTAGGTGTTGAAAATTGATATAAGACAACACTAGAATTACTGTTGACCAGACCACACACTAGAAAGTGAAGGGACGACGACGTTTCGGTCCGTCCTGGACCATTCTCAAGTTGAATTAGAAATTACTGTTCATGAGCTTGGTAAGGTCAGTTTCGCTTGTCAGCTGCTGAAGCATCCTGCGTGGAGGCTCTTGGCTTTCTGGTCAGGCTTCACTTCTCCTCTTCACAGTATAGTGCCTTGCTTAAACCTGGAAATCAAACCATCGCTTCTCCTGAAATCCAGTATTCCAAGGCTAGCTGCAAACCTGCTGAGCATTCCTTATTTCTGCACTGTGAATTGTCGCACCAACTGTGTGGTGCTGTGCAAACCTCTTGTACATGTCCTCGTCCTACTCTACATGATGTGCAGGCATCAAGTTGGTCTATTACACCCTGTGCAAACCACTTGTACACAGCCTCGTCCTACTCTACATGATGTGCAGGCATCAAAGTTGGTCTATTACACCCTGTGCAAACCACTTGTACACAGCCTTGTCCTACTCTACATGATGTGCAGGCATCAAAGTTGGTCTATTACACCCTGTGCAAACCACTTGTACACAGCCTCGTCCTACTCTACATGATGTGCAGGCATCAAAGTTGGTCTATTACACCCTGTGCAAACCACTTGTACACAGCCTCGTCCTACTCTACATGATGTGCAGGCATCAAAGTTGGTCTATTACACCCTGTGCAAACCACTTGTACACAGCCTCGTCCTACTCTACATGATGTGCAGGCATCAAAGTTGGTCTATTACACCCTGTGCAAACCACTTGTACACAGCCTCGTCCTACTCTACATGATGTGCAGGCATCAAAGTTGGTCTATTACACCCTGTGCAAACCACTTGTACACGGCCTCGTCCTACTCTACATGATGTGCAGGCATCAAAGTTGGTCTATTACACCCTGTGCAAACCACTTGTACACGGCCTCGTCCTACTCTACATGATGTGCAGGCATCAAAGTTGGTCTATTACACCCTGTGCAAACCACTTGTACACGGCCTCGTCCTACTCTACATGATGTGCAGGCATCAAAGTTGGTCTATTACACCCTGTGCAAACCACTTGTACACGTCCTCGTCCTACTCTACATGATGTGCAGGCATCAAAGTTGGTCTATTACACCCTGTGCAAACCACTTGTACACGGCCTCGTCCTACTCTACATGATGTGCAGGCATCAACGCTGGTCTATTACACCCTCACCTGCTAGTCCCTGCACCCTTCACACTCACTGGCTGCTATGTATTCGATGTAGTCATCTTTGCGTTTCCTTACATTAGTGACAGTTCTAGTTCCTGACTTGAGACATGACCGAGCAGTCATGTCTCAACCTTCCAGCTTATTTGTATGTAAACATATTTATGTGTACTTATGTTTATAAATGTATGCAACTGTGTAGTGAAAAGTACCTGAATATTTTTTTCAGATTAAATACTCTAAACCTCCAAAACCAAAATCGGAAGAAAATGCAGAGGAAGAAATCACGCAGCGCAGAGTTACTCGTGGTCGCCAAGTTAACTATTACGATGCTCTTATGTCAGATGAAACAGAGGAAGAAGAGGTAAGGATAAGGAACCTGTTAAGTCAGAGTATATTGCTATGTGTACATGGCGTCACATTTATGGTTGGCCTCGGGAAGCATATACAAGTGCTGTACGTGGTAGTAAATATAATAATAATAATCCTTTTGTTGTAAAAATATAATGATATGATATGAGTAAATTGTTTGGGAAAATGTGTTGGAAACAGTAGATGGAATAATGAAGCAATCAAAAAAGGAAATAATATACAAGCAGCTGCCATGTTGTTTGTTGGCCACGTGAAAGTACGACAGTATTGAATTATAGTGTTAATTATTCATATAATTTTTATACTTGTTCATACTTTTTCAGCCTGCGAAGAAATGGAGAGGCAAGGTGATGAAAGGAGAGCGAGTCCCTACAGAGAGTAGTGAATACGAAGCGTCAGACGATGAGAGAATGAAAAGACGGGGAGTGAGTGGAGGCTTGGGAAGGGGCAAGGTCATGAAAGGTGAAGAAGAAGGTAAGTCAAAATTGGTAGTAAGAAATATAAAACTATATTTATATAAATTAATAGCTATAAGAAAGAATTATCCATCTGTCCACCTACCTGTTGAAGATTCCGAGGATTAGTATTCCTTCCGAGGATTGGTATTCCTTGGAGTGCAGCAACCAGCCTCCTGGTTGCTCTTCCCATAAAATAAAAATAGAGTTTTTGCTTGCCTTCTTTTATCATTGGCCTCATTTATAATCAACTCGTTCGTTCGCCTCAAGTACTGATACGTATTAGCATGTCCGAATTAACGCTGTTGAATGAACAATTAATTACACAGTGTGTATGTGAGAGCATTACTTTAATATGCATCACCAGAATGGAATCCACACCTTGTGAAGCATAAAGAGAAACTTGAGGAAGTTAAGAGGGTTGCAACTAGATTAGTACCAGAGTTGAGAGGCCTCAACTATGAGGACAGGTTGAGAGAACTCCCTCTCACAACCATTGAGGAGTGAAGAAACAGAGGGCATATGATTATTACATAAAAGATCCTGGAGGGCATAGACAAAGTGAACAAAGGAAACCTATTTAAATTAAAAAGAGGTAGGCTAAAGGGTCATTGAAAGCTGGATGTGCAGTAGTCAGAGAGACAGTACTGTACAAGGAAATGCTCATTTCCTGTATGGGTGGTCAGCAAATGAAGTGCATTGAAGGACAAGGCTGCCGAAGTCAATTGCATCCTCAACTTTACGGAAAAGTACGATGAAAACATTGATGTTGAGAGAGGTATTTATCAGGTATAAACAGGTAGGAGGAGGGGCATAAAGAGCTAATCTCGCTCCCATGTAGTCACTGGTAGGTAAGCACTTTGTCAGTAAAAGTCACGAGGTCACTGTTATTATAGGTGTCTGTGGTGTTGCTTCCTCGTAGTCGTCGTCATCGTAGTCTTCGTCCACTTCAGCGGTAACAGTCTGGAATATCTCTGCTCATCTCACCATGTCTGGGATCATTCATCACATCATGTCCAGGATCATTGCTCATCTCACCATATCCTGGGTCATCAGCATCTATTTCTAGCCATTCAACAGCTTCAACTACATCCAGCCTCTCTGAATTTTGACCAGCATGCTGGAACATACTATGGATATGATCAATAAATTCTTCAAAACTTGTATCATCCTCTTCATTACTAGAGCTGTGATGACATTCTTTCATGAATTCTTCAAAGTTGACTCCTTCACCTCACTCCACACTTTGGCCCAGTTATGTATCTTGAGGTTATCTTGAGATGATTTCGGTGCTTTAGTGTCCCCGCGGCCCGGTCCTCGACCAGGCCTCCACCCCCAGGAAGCAGCCCGTGACAGCTGACTAACACCCAGGTACCTATTTACTGCTAGGCGCCCGGGATCGAACCCGGGGCCACAGGATCACAAGTCCAGTGTGCTGTCCGCTCGGCCGACCGGCTCCCCCTTGTACTTGTAGTAACTTGTACTTGTGGTCGATCTCGAACCCATTGTTGTTGTGACGACTTACACTGAATTTTGTAACTATCTCATCAAGATTGTAACTTGCTTAGCTAAATGAATTGTGGGGTTCAGTCCCTGAGCCCATTATGTGCCTCTGTAACCCTTTCCACTACCGCCCACAAGATGGGTATGGGGGTGCATAATAAATGAACTAAACTAATAAAAACTATCCTAGTTCCACATCTTCCTCAAGCGGTAAAGTCACCAAAACTTCATTTGGCATCTTTTTGGTGTACAACTTCTTGATCTATAGGCAGTAGTCCTTAGCAGTAAATAGGTACCTGGGAGTTAGACAGCTGTTACGGGCTGCTTCCTGGGAATGTGTAACAAAAATAGGAGGCCTGATTGAGGACCGGGCCGTGGGGACACTAAGCCCCAAAATCATCTGAAGATATGGGGGCTGTGTTTACAATTATTGAACAGTTAATGAGCTCCGAATCACCAGGAGGCTGTTTATAACAATAACAACAGTTGATTGGCAAGTTTTCATGCTTGTAAACTGTTTAATAAATGCAACCAAAGCCGTCAAAGAATGTGGAAAGATGTATACGTTTGTAAGTACTTGCTTAACTGCTTCGTGAATCTGGCACCTGGTACACTTCCCTCACTCCTAGAAATTTTTTAAGTAAACTCCTCCAATAGTTTCATTTCATCAATGCTCTAGATTTGATACTAAAATAGATTGTTACAAAATACAGGTATGTAGGGTCTTGTTTTTGAATGGTTCCGCATTGCTCATATCTTGAGGACGTTGTTCCTCGCTTTAAATCCAGTAATCCAAGCATCGCTTACCCTGAAATCCGATACGCCAAGACTGGTTGCAAACTTGCTTGGTGCATTCCTTATTTCTTCACTGGGAATTGTCATGCCCACTGTGCAAACCATTTCTATACGGTCTTATCCAACTAGGCAGACTTCAAGGTTTTCTATTATAATCTCTACTAACACTTACTCCCTCACTCTCACTAATAGATATATGTATTTCATGTAGTCATCTTTATATTTCCTTATATCAGTGATAGTACTCTTGCTTCTACCAAAACTGTGTCTCATAAGAAACTTGTATATATGTATATATATATATATTGCAATTGTTGCACGTTTTAACTTCCTTGTTTGTCATTTTTGTTTTTGATAATTAAGATAGAAGTCTCAACAAAAGCAACATTAAAGTTGCCTTACTTTTTTCCAGATGAAGAAAATAAACTTGGACAAGGCAAGAAAAAGCGCGGACGGCCAAAGAAAGGTGATGAACTTATCGGCAAGCCGTCTCCTCCGTCAACTCTAAACACTATCGAGCCTTCGTCGGTATCATCAACACCATCTGCGCCATCTCTCCCAATTGTGTCATCTGAATCTACTGTACCTGTTACACCAATTGGGACATCTGTGACTGTTAAACCAATTGTGACACCTGTATCTGTAACACCAGTTGTGACGCCCATGCGTGTTACGCCAGTTGTGACGTCTGTGTCTATCACACCAGTTGTTACGTCTACACCCATTACACCAACAATAGCATCGCTACCTGCTGCACTAACCATAGCATCTTTACCTGCTGCACTAACAATAGCATCTTTACCTTCTTCAATAACAATAGCAGCTATACCCGCTGCTCTTCCAGTGACAGCTGCACCTGTCGCACCTGCTGCTGCCAGCTCGCCCGCACATAAAACTCCCGAGCATGTTGTTGGGACGCCGCCGACCACGCCGGCACCTAGCACAGCAAGCAAAAGTTTGCCAGCTAACATTACAGCCGCAACAAACATGGGAAATAATAGCCCGGTACATCAACCCATGGGAAAATGGTCTCCGCACTTATCCATGAGTGGAGCTCCAGGTACGCCTCCCAGACCAAGTGTGGGTTCTGGACCTACAGCTGGTGCAGGGACTCCTCCACGCCCAACACTTTCTGGTCCGCCCGTGACGCCATCCCCACCACCGCCGTATCGCTCCTCGCCATTACCTATTACACCTGGTGGTCCTGGAGCCTCTCCATGTAGTACAGCACCTAGCAGTATGGCACCTGTTGGACCCCCAATAACTACTTCAATTCATTCACCCGGTTATCCTGCATATAGACCTCCGCCAGAACTTTTTGCAGCCCATCCAGCATTTCCTGGGTATGCACCCCCAGGCAGGCATTCTCCCAGTCCTCATGGGGTCCCTCCTCATCACCCTTCCCACATACAACCCGGACACTCACTTTCTCGTATGCCTACTAATTACGGACCGCCGCCGCTTACTAGTGGACCTGGTCCAGGTCAAGGACCATACTCCTCTAGAGGTATTCCATCACATCCAGGAGTATTGCGAGGCCCTCCACACGACTTGTATAGGTCATCCCCTAGCGGTTTACCCGGTCACGGGTCTCCCAGCCATCCCGGGCACCCTCATCTTGTTATGAAATCTGGCTATCCTGGGTTAGAACCTCTACCTTATTCTGGCTCCCCGGGTCCAAGTCCGTTAGGTTTACATCAAGGATCCCAAGGGTCTCCAGCACACCACTCGCCCAGTGATGACAGTAAAGAGGAGACGCATCCTACTGGTAAAGGCCCGGGAGAATTCAGTAGTGGCTTAATGTCCTACTTTTCCAGCCAACGTGATGATGATATCGAGTAATGGTGATTAAAATTTTGGCTTGAAGCAGCAACTCTCTTTGTGGCAGTTTCATGAAGGACTTGTATTTACTCCCTAATATTTTTGTATTCTCATTTTATAAGGTCTCAAGCAGTGAGCATATTTCATGTTGACAATTCTCATACATAGTGGGTCTAAAATATAACAAAAATTTCTATAAGAGTATTGCTGAGAGGTCTCGTCTAAATAGGATTAATGAATTTCTTTTATGGATTGCAGCACAAATTGGGTTTCTTGCTGTTAACATTCTGAGACCAGTCATTTTACCTGAAATAAATTATTAGAATTGCAGAGATATTTTAGATATGATTTTTTGTGTATTGTATGTGTTGTAGTGCTGTATATAGAAGCTTTTTGTATTTCCTTCAAAGGATTCTGTAAAATAATGTGCAAAGTTACAAAGCTATAATAAAACTAGACGAAATTGTCCTCATTTTGTATGCCATCCTCACGTTATCTAATATAAATAGTTCCTTTGAGTAATGATCAAGCATAGAAATGTGTTTGTATAGGAAAGTTTATTCTGTATGGCGTGCAGTTTTTCAGTAACTGTAGATGATTTAATGTATAGTAATCCCTTCAGAGGAAAACACATTCATGGCATGTAGATGCATCTTGTGGATTTCCTCTTATTAAATATGAACTTCATTCTTTAGCATGCTAATCATCTTATAAAATCAGAGTTACAAAGTTCCTAAAGGTTTTAACAATGTTATAAAAATAAGGGTAAGTGGAATAATCTTCAGTTCTTTTCATAAGATTTCTGAAATAAAATTTGTGGTAATATTGAGCATATCGAAAGCAAATGTTATTGTGTGTGTCAAACACAGGGTCACAGCGAAAATATGGACTGGAGAGATATAGTAAACAGAGTCCCTTTAAGATTCGATCCCAAGACCCATTGTTAATGCCTAATCTATATTAATAACCTATTGTACGGGATTAGTGTGTAAATGCTAGTGATTGTAGATGATGTATAACTGATAAGGCACTCTGAAAGACTGCCTATTCAAGTGCTTCGGTTTAAAGAGACTCGAATAATAATAGTACTCCTCGATACTCTGCCTCCTTCGGAGCAGGAGAGAATGCTGAAATGGGAATACAGAGAACATACCTAAACTATTGGAATCATTGCAAAGCTCTCAATGTATTCCCTAGAAAGGAGATGAGAAAGGTACCAAATTATGTATACATTAAAAATTATACACAGTCTAGGTGAATGGAATATATATGCATTGAAAATGCTGGTGTGCCAGGTGCCTAATTTACATGGTAAGATAACAACATACTGGAGTGGGAGGAACTGCAGATTAGATGTGCCAAAGACACAATTAGAGAAAACTGAACCTCAGAGATCTGTGGATGTTCAATATCCTCCAAGTAAGTACTGTATAAGAAATATTGCCGGAACAAAATTGGAAGTCTTAAAAAGAGTAGATAGTTTTCTGCAAGTGCTGGACCAATCTGGCTGTAGTGGACATGTGGGCCAGTGGGCCGCTCCAAGCAACAGCCTGGTGGACCAAACTCTCAAGTCAAGCCTGGCCTGGGAACTTCCAGAACCCCATCCAGGTAAAATAATAAAACTTTATACAGTAGTGGAGAGGACAGTGTGGGTGTGCTGACAGTCAAAGCTGTGGACAGGGCAGGTGTGTTGACAGTCAAAGCTGTGGACAGGGCAGGTGTGTTGACAGTCAAAGCTGTGGACAGGGCAGGTGTGTTGACAGTCAAAGCTGTGGACAGGGCAGGTGTGCTGACAGTCAAAGCTGTGGACAGGGCAGGTGTGTTGACAGTCAAAGCTGTGGACAGGGCAGGTGTGTTGACAGTCAAAGCTGTGGACAGGGCAGGTGTGTTGACAGTCAAAGCTGTGGACAGGGCACGTGTGTTGACAGTCAAAGCTGTGGACAGGGCAGGTGTGCTGACATTCAAAGCTGTGGACAGGGCAGGTGTGCTGACAGTCAAAGCTGTGGACAGGGCAGGTGTGCTGACAGTCAAAGCTGTGGACAGGGCAGGTGTGCTGACAGTCAAAGCTGTGGACAGGGCGGGTGTGCTGACAGTCAAAGCTGTGGACAGGGCAGGTGTGCTGACAGTCAAAGCTGTGGACAGGGCAGGTGTGCTGACAGTCAAAGCTGTAGACAGGGCAGGTGTGCTGACAGCCAGGGCTATAGACAAGGCAGGTGTGCTGACAGTCAAAGCTGTGGACAGGGCAGGTGTGCTGACAGTCAAAGCTTTAGACAGGGCAGGTGTGCTGACAGCCAGAGCTACAGACAGGGCAGGTGTGCTGACAGCCAGAGCTACAGACAGGGCAGGTGTGTTGACAGCCAGAGCTGGACAGGGCAGGTGTGTTGACAGCCAGAGCTGTGGACAGGGCAGGTGTGCTGACAGTCAAAGCTGTGGACAGGGCAGGTGTGCTGACAGTCAAAACTTTAGAAAGGGCAGGTGTGCTGACAGCCAGAGCTGTGGACAGGGCAGGTGTGCTGACAGCCAGAGCTGTGGACAGGGAGGTGTGTTGACAGCCAGAGCTGTGGACAGGGCAGGTGTGTTGACAGCCAGAGCTGTGGACAGGGTAGGTGTGCTGACAGCCAGAGCTGTAGACAGGGCAGGTGTGCTGACAGCCAGAGCTACAGACAGGGCAGGTGTGTTGACAGCCAGAGCTGTGGACAGGGCAGGTGTGCTGACAGCCAGAGCTGTAGACACGGCAGGTGTGCTGACAGCCAGAGCTGTGGACAGGGCAGGTGTGCTGACAGCCAGAGCTGTGAACAAGGCGGGTGTGCTGACACCCAGAGCTGTGGACAGGGCAGGTGTGCTGACAGCCAGAGCTGTGAACAAGGCTTGTGTGCTGACAGCCAGAGCTGTGGACAGGGCAGGTGTGCTGACAGCCAGAGCTGTGGACAGGGCAGGTGTGCTGACAGCCAGAGCTGTGAACAAGGCGGGTGTGCTGACAGCCAGAGCTGTGGACAGGGCGGGTGTGCTGACAGCCAGAGCTGTAGACAGGGCAGGTGTGCTGACAGCCAGAGCTGTGGACAGGGCGGGTGTGCTGACAACCAGAGCTGTGGACAGGGCAGGTGTGCTGACAGCCAGAGCTGTGAACAAGGCGGGTGTGCTGACAGCCAGAACTGTGGACAGGGCAGGTGTGCTGACAGCCAGAGCTGTGGACAGGGCAGGTGTGCTGACAGCCAGAGCTGTAGACAGGGCAGGTGTGCTGACAGCCAGAGCTGTGGACAGGGCAGGTGTGTTGACAGCCAGAGCTGTGGACAGGGCAGGTGTGCTGACAGCCAGAGCTGTAGACAGGGCAGGTGTGCTGACAGCCAGAGCTGTGGACAGGGCAGGTGTGCTGACAGCCAGAGCTGTGGACAGGGCAGGTGTGCTGACAGCCAGAGCTGTGGACAGGGCAGGTGTGCTGACAGCCAGAGCTGTGAACAAGGCGGGTGTGCTGACAGCCAGCGCTGTGGACAGGATATATGCTGACACCTGCTGACAGACACAAGTGTGTACCCAATTGGTGTTCCCAGTAAGTAATAAGTTATTCAGGTTATCAGTTATTATTATTATTACTAATAACTGATAACGGCGGCCATCAACTCTTCCTTCTATGGACTTTAGATTAACAGGATGACGTGACGTCACGTTGTGTTCGGGTCCCTGACTTCTGGCTTAGTCTCACTAATCTATAATCAAGAGTGAATTTTTTTATATACTAAAAGCCTCTTGCGTTGTGTAATAAAATAAGGAAGTCATTGGTGAATCAAAGTAATATGTTCAGCAGGATTATTTTCCTCCTTGCTGAAAAGATTTACAACCAATTTCTAGACAGGCAAGATTTTTTGGACGAGTCTGGGGCCAGATTTACGAAGCAGTTACGCAAGGACTTACGAACGTGTACATCTTTCCTCAACCTTTGACGGCTTTGGTTACATTTATTAAACAGTTTACAAGCAGGAAAACTTGCCAATCAACTGTTGTTATTGTTATAAACAGCCTCCTGGTGCTTCCGAGCTCATTAACTGTTTAATAATTGTAAACAAAGCCGCCAAAGATTGAGAAAAGATGGACAGCAGGGTCATAAGTGCTTGTGTAACTGCTTCGTGAATTTGGCCCCAGGACGTGACGGGGAGTATGGGGGGTACAAATTATATTCTTAAGATTGTGCTCCAGGGCTAAAAATTCAAAATTCAAAAAATTCTAATTCAAAATTCAAATTCAAAATGTTTAAAGTTCATTGTGTTCCAGGTTCATTGTATTCACCTAGTTGTGCTTGCGGGGGTTGAGCTCTGGCTCTTTAGCCCCGCCTCTCAATTGATTGACAGTTGACAGCCTCTCAACTGTCAATCAACTTTTTTTCACATATCCCCCAGACAGGCCGTAGCAGCTGTCTAACTCCCAGGTACCTATTTAATGCTAGGTGAACAGGTGCATCAGGGCGAAAGAAACTGCCCATTTGTTTCAGCCATCGCCGGGGATTGATCCCTGGGCCATAGGATTACGAATCCCGAGTGCTGTCCACTCAGCCACCAGGTTCCCTGTGTGCTAAAGCAGGGTGTTGACAGTATAAAGCTTAAATCACTCAGCACATAGTGGTAATATAAAGCTTAAAGCACTCTTCACGTAGTGGTAATATAAAGCCTAAAGCACTCTTCACGTAGTGGTAATATAAAGCCTAAAGCACTCTTCACGTAGTGGTAATATAAAGCCTAAAGCTCTCTTCACGTAGTGGTAATATAAAGCTTAAAGCACTCTTCACGTAGTGGTAATATAAAGCTTAAAGCACTCTTCACGTAGTGGTAATATAAAGCCTAAAGCTCTCTTCACGTAGTGGTAATATAAAGCTTAAAGCTCTCTTCACGTAGTGGTAATATAAAGCCTAAAGCTCTCTTCACGTAGTGGTAATATAAAGCTTAAAGCACTCTTCACGTAGTGGTAATATAAAGCTTAAAGCTCTCTTCACGTAGTGGTAATATAAAGCTCTAAAGCTTCAGTCGGTCAGGTGAATTCACAGTGAGAGGTTGTGTTAACCGGAGCTCCTGAGTGTTGTTATATTATCATAGCAATATGGAAGTTGTAGTTAAGGACCTGGTGACTCTAGTGGGAGCCCTGAGGACAGAGTTGGACTCTCTGCGGGAGGAGGTGCGTCAGCTGAAAGGACAACGAGAAGTAACGAAGGAGGAGACCAGCAGTAAAGGGACCTCGTCTTGGAGAGTTGTGAAAGACAGGGGCCTTAAGAAGACTTTGATAAAGCCGCCTTCAAACGCCATAGCAACCTCTAATTCATTTGACGTTTTGGAGGACGAGTGCTGTGGAGAGACTGTGGATCGCGCAAAAGGGAAAGCAACGAAGAGAAAGGAAGCGCAGGCCCCTCAGAAAGTAAAGGAAGTACCTAAGCAAACATTAGTTGTGGGAGATTCCCAGATAAGGTATTTGGATAGAACGTTT